AATGATCAAACGCTCTGGTATAGTCTTTAGTGACTTGAGCAACACACTCAGCTGTAAACGTGTGAAGACGAAGTTATTTGGAGATCGGTGTAGTGGAATTGAAAGCGGGGACCGTTATCAAAACCCTGGTAAACTTAACGAGCGCTCTGAAAATCGGGATTGTCAGGACTAGCTGAAGAAACAACGGGAAGGAACAACTCGCCAAAGGACGCAAGTATCGTAGCTTGAGAGACAGTTAACAACAATAGTATAGGATTTACACTGTGATAGTTTTAGTTTTTAGTTATATCAAACAAATTATAAAAAAATATATTTAAACTTTTTTTTGTATATGAAGTTATATTTGCCGACACCCACACAGGCGGATTTAAATTCGTCACACCGTCCCTAACCAGTTCGTCCTGCGTGTATAAACTGTATATGATGCTGCTTGTGATGTTACTCTGAGTGTATATCCACACGGGGCAAGCTTGGAAAATATGCCTGACCACGGTGGGAATCGAACCTACGACCTTTGGAATACCAGACCACCGTGGTCAGGCATATTTTTAAAGCTTGCCCGGTGTGGATATACACTCAGAGTAACATCACAAGCATCATATTCACCTGAGTACATTACACCAACACAGAAAAATCATGTATATGATGCTCTAGATATCTCCAGCCCTTCTTAAGGCCCATACAGACCGGAAGCGATTTGTCAACGCGACGCGATTTTTCGATTTTCAATGGCATTTAATTTTAATATTTTTCAATGTTTTTGAAATAGTCGGAACCACTGAAGCACTTTTAGCTATTTGGTCTGCATATCTTGTAATTTTTTTATCCTTTGACGGTTTTATTTGTTTTTGAAACCTGAAAATTCGCGTCGCGTTGCCGAATCGCGTCCGGTCTGTGTGGGCCTTTAACCATCAGTAGCTTTCCTTAGCCCTCCTTAGCCCTCCTTAGCCCTCTTTAGGGCTCCTTACTCCTTAGCCCTCTTTAGCCATCCTTAGGCCTTCTTATCCCCCCTTAGGGCTCCTTAGCCATCCTTAGGCCTCCTTAGGCTTCCTTATGAGCCCTCCTTAGACCTCCTTAGGGCCCTTAGCCCTGCCTAGACATCCTTAGGGCTTCTTAGACCTCCTTAGACCTCCTTAGCCATCCTTAGACACCCTTAGGCCTCCTTAGACCTCCTTAGACCTCCTTAAACCTCTTTAGACCTCCCTTAGGCTCGAATCAGTGCTTTTTCATTGTTGGTATTCTGTTGATTGCGTTATTTATTTTTCACCCTGCTCGGTTTCCTTTGTTCTTATCGGGGAATATATTCAATATTCCCCTCTAATCAATTTCCTTAATAATCCCCTCTAATATTCACCTGCAATGTCTTTGCAGCACAAAAATGAGAAAAACAACATGACGAAGGCAATATGGCATTAAGAATTATTTCTATTCTGACTCATTAACGCGACCTCGCAATGTGAACAATAAGTACGTTATTTTGAGGCACCTCGGGGATATGTGATTTATTCACCTCGGCGCTGCGCGCCTCGGTGAATAAATCGCATATCCCCTCGTTACCTCAAAATAACATATACTTATTGTTTTTATACTTACAATTCTTGCTAATGATATAGAATTATAGCCAGAACTTCTTAATTTATTGAAATTTGGTCAATTAAATGTAGGAAGTTTGAACAGCGAAGACAAATTTGATGAACTGTCCATACTTGTCAAAGAAAACAATTTTCATATATTTGCAATAAATATTCAGTTATACAAATCTCCCTGTTATAAAAGGGAAGTGCGGAATTTTAGAAATGTTGATGTTGTGAATCTTAATTGCGAACTTCAACTAGCAAATTGGTCACCCCAATTAGAAAATGAATTTGATATAGAAGTGATATATGGAAAATGGTATCGGAAATTTCGTTGTGTAGTAAAGAAACATATTCCATTTAGAAATTAGAAGAGTGACTATACGACCAAATGATAAGCCATGGATGAATGGTCGTATTCGTTTGCCTATTCGTAAACGTAATCGATTTCTTAAAACACATAATAAAAAGCCCACGCTAAATTCGTGGCGAGCGTTATCGCAGACAACGTAATTATACTACCTTTCTAATTAAAGATGCAAAAAAATCATATTAAGAAAAACTGAATTCAGATTTGAGTGATCCGGCTACCTTAAACGGGAGCCTTAAACAAAAAGAAGTGCTGGGCAATTGTGAAACAGATATATGGCAATAATCGATTCAGCTAATTCTCCTCCATATATTGAGCCGTTTCAAACATCTTTTGGATATTATAGCCACCCCTGAAGAATTTTTCGTTTTAATGAAAAACTCTAAAGCTTGTGGTTATGAGGGGGTAGGGAATAAAATCATTCACTACATCTGTTGGGGGGGTGAATAGGGGTATACAAATCCGCCGATCCGCCCAAATTTAAAACAAAATCCACTATTTGACAAAGGTCTTGTCTAAATTTGAATCCGCTAAAAGCTCTACTATGAAATCCAGAATCCGAAATAAATTGCAAACTAAATCCACAATCCGAGCCAAAATATTAGATAAATCCGCAATCCGCTGTATTAATAAGATCCGCAAATCCGTGTAAAATGTTCGCCAGATCCGATATCCGAACAATTTTTTCTGTGAAATCCGACGATCCGAAAACCTATTCACCCCCTGTTGTGAAGGATTTTATAGATTTTTTTCTAAATTTATTAATTTATCTTTCAAATTGGGTAGATTTCCTTGTCAGTGGAAATTGGCAAATGTAATTCCGATATTTAAAAAGGAATTTGTTGCCGTCTCTTTCGAAAATTTCAGAAAAAATCGTTTCTACGCGCCTTTATAATTTTTTATTGGAAATTAGTTTTCTATACAAATATCAATCAGGTTTCAGACCTGGAGATTCTACAGTTAATCAGTTTATATAATGCATTATTCATAAAGAAGTTCGTGTAGTTTTTCTAGATACATGTAAAGCTTTTGATAGAGTGTGGCATGCGGGCTAAATTAAAAAAAACTTGAAGCATTGGGTGTTAGAAACCCTTTATTAATGTGGATAGAAAGCTATCTCAGAGACAGAAAGCAGTGACGCGTGTTAAATCTGGTGTTCCGCAGGGTTCTGTCCTTGGATCACTGCTATTCCTTATTTATATAAATGATATTACTACAGTCCATTTATATATGCTAATGGAACCCTGCTATTTGAAATTGTTGATGATGCGGATATTTCCGCAGAAAATTTGAATGAAGATTTGAGAACAATATAGCTCCGATTAGTCCGGCTTGTTTCAATGAATCCATCAAAATTTCGAACTATTGTGTTTTCTCTTAAACAACATAAGCCTGATCACCCTCCGTTGTATTTTGATGGTGCATGTATTGAAAAAGTTGAAAAATATACTCATCTTCATGGGCTTGTGCTTCAAAATAATATGTCGTGGCGGAGTCATATACAAAATATTACTGAAAAGGCCTTAACAAGATTAAATACGTTGAGGTTGCTCAAATATAAAGTTATGAAGCTAAAGTAGACCATCGTGGAAGATGTTGTACATTACAGCAGGTATATTTTCCTCGTGATTCTCGTTGTGCGTGTTCGAAAGTACGCGGAGGCCCACCCTGAAGACGCCCAAATGCATAAAACAAATTTAAATGTGGCACATTTTCATTAATTTCGCAATTTATTCAAATTTTCTACATTTCTTGGTAGTTGTGAAAAGCTCTTAACGAAATCAAAAACTATAAAAATGCTTAATTAATAAGGCCATTGATTTGTACGCAAATGTCTGATATTCGCTGCCGTAGGCTTCTTTATCTTGCTCTCGTCCGATCTCATCTGTCATATGGTAGTGAGATCTGGGCACCTCAAGGATCGTCACGTGATCTTGCGATCATCGAGGGTGTTCAAAGACGAGCTAGTAAATTTATCCTTCAGGATTATGAGTTGCCATATCCTGAACGCCTTAAAAAGCTTAATCTATTACCAATATCCTACTGGATGGAACTAAAGGATCTCGTCTTCTTTTTTAAATGTAAGCACGGTCTCTTCGACCTAGTTATCTCCTCTTTCGTCACTTTTTCTTCAAACAGCTTGTCTCACGCCCGTTCAAGTTCGGACAACTTGCTTCGTGTCAATCATTGCAGGACTTCTCTCTTTAGGAACTCTTTTTTCAACCGAATTGACTTTCTCTGGAATAATCTCTCTCCCACCATTCGTAATAGTTCATCTGTTTCCTCCTTTAAAAACAGACTAACTGTTCATTACTCTTCTCTACTTCATTCATCTTTCGATGTAAACAGAATGCGCACTTGGAAAACCTTCTGTTCTAAGTGCTGCTCTTTCAACTTAAGCTGTTGTTCGTAATTCGTCATGTTTTCTGTAAATTTTATATTTGTTATCGTCTTTGATTTATGTTTGTTATAGTTTGTTTTCATTAAGGTTGGTCTTCATATGGGGCTATTCATGTCCTGTTGACCATACCTTCAACCATATTATGTAGTGTTTTAGTCTATTTTATGTATGGTTGTAAAGTTAATAAATAAATAAATAAATAAATAAATAAATGGAGTATGGAGATGTAATATGGGACAATTGTAGTGAAGAGGAAGCAAAATTATTGGAACATATTCACTATGAGGCAGCTAAAGTTGTGAACGGAGCCATTGAAGGCACAGGCGCCATAGTACTGATGAATGAGCTAGCATGGGAGAATCCCATGCAGTGATAGGAAAAAATTACATAAATCAGTTTATTTCTACAAAATTACTAAGTTCATCTCTCCAGCGTATCTTGTTGTTCTATTACCTAACACTGTGGGAGAAAGGGCTCATCGTTAACTTCGTTCCAGTGAATATGTTAGCTCTATCTCATGTCGAACAGTAAAATTTAAGCACTCGTTTTCAACAATGAATCAATGGAATTCTTTAGGCACTGATATAAGAAATTCGGATTCGCTTGATAGTTGATACATTTAAAGTTAAAATTAAATCAATGTTCTGTCCGTTAGTGTATAATAAAATTTTTGACGTTTCTCTTACTCGTGAGTATCAATTTTACATACTCAATTGAGATTAGGCTTAGTCTAGTTATTCAAGACATCATGCTCGTAAAGCTCGGTCGAAATGTAACACCTCAAATCTTATTGAGATACAACGCCTTCCATTGAATAAGATTGCACAAAACAGCTGTCTATCGCTTTGTTTAATGAATGCGCAATCTATACGAAACAAGACGGCTGACTTCGTTGACTATGTCTGTGAAAATAAATTTGATCTAGTTGCTGTTACTGAGACCTGGCTGCAAAAAGATGATGCAGTGCGTATTGAACTGTGCCCAGCTGGCTATAAATTTGTTGATCATCCGCGTTTAAGACGAGGAGGCGGGGGCATTGGCCTTCTTCATCGTCACTCTTTTAGAGTTACTACAGTTAGATCTGGCGAAGAAGAGTCTTTTGATTACTCTGAGCTTCTGATACAACTATCATCCTCTTGCAAGTTTAGGACTATTATTTTTTATAGATCACCGCCTTCAAAAGGCCATAGGGTGTCTATGAGCACTTTTCTGAGCGAGTTCTCTAATTTCCTAGAATCGGTCATTCTATCGAAGGAGTGCTTACTCATCCTTGGGGACTTTATCATTCATGTTGACGACTGTATTGACGCTGATGTTATGAAGTTCCTTGATTTACTGGATTCACTTGGACTTGACCAGCATGTCACGCAACCGACACATATCCATGGTCGCACCCTCGATCTTATTATCACACGCAAAAGAGAGTCACTTATAAGGTCACTGCCACGTAGCTGTCACTACTTTTCCCATCATGCAGCTGTTCATAGCAGTATTCTGATAGTGAAGCCTGTGATCAAAGTTAGTAGAGTGACTTACAGGAAAACTAAGGATGTGGATCTGCACTGCCTTAGGCAGGATCTAGCAGTGTCTGATCTGTGCAAGAGGGAACATGGCGAGCATGTTATACTAGTTATGAAGTCGTGATAAGCTCGTGTGTAGTTACAACACTGTTCTCAGCACCATTACAAATAGCCATGCGCCCCTTAAGACGAAAGTTGTAAGATCGAGGCCACAAGCCCCTGGTACAAGATATAGCTGAAGATATAGCTGAAGATATAGCTGAAGCGAAAAGAAAGCGACGTAGAGCTGAGCGAGTCTGGAGGAGATCAAAGTCTGTTGAAGACCTTTTGGTGTTCAAACGATTAAGAAATCATGTAACATACATCAGTAGTAAGGCACGTAAGGAATTTCATGTGAAATTCATACAACATCAGGAGGGTGATCAGCGCAAACGTTTTAGAGCAACCAAAGCTCTGCTCCTGCCGAAAAGTGATTTATGTTTTCCTGACTATCATATTAACACAGCTCTTGCAAATTATATCGGAAACTATTTTCATCGTAAGGCTGCTAATATTCGCAAAGAGCTTGATGTTTTTCATGTTACTCACGAAGAGCGGGCTATGGTGATTGATGATCCTGAGCTTAATGCTGAACACGAAAAATTATCTAACTTTAAAGAACTCACACAAGAAAATGTAAATCAACTTATTAGAGCTTTCAACTAAGAAAACGTCCATACTTGATCCCATTCCCACTTCTCTATTAACAACCTGTCTCGAGGAAATTCTTCCAGTTATTACATCTATGATTAATTCTTCTCTGTCCCTCGGATGCGTTCCAATTGAGTGGAAAGCTGCTCTGGTCCACCCGCGGCCTAAGAAACCTGGTTATAATTCTTCTCTTCCAAATTTGAGACCAACAATTTGTGTCTAACCTACATTTTGTATCTAAATTGACAGAACGAGCGGTTTGCAACCAGACTCAAGATCATCTATTGCGTTCGGGTTTATATCCGGTGCTCCAGTCAGCTTATCGGGCCGGTTACAGCACAGAAACCGCTCTCCTGAAAGTCCATAATGACATCTTGATAAATATGAATAATCAGAAGGTTAGTCTACTCGTACTGCTAGACTTGAGCTCAGCGTTTGACACGGTGGATCATCAAGTTCTTGTCCGTCGTCGTCTGGTAACTTTTGGAATAACCGGAAATGCCCTTAGCTGGTTTCGGTCTTATTTATCTAACAGAACACAGCGAGTGGTAATAAATGGCAGCCATTCGATGGACTTTCCTTTGTTACACGGTGTCCCTCAGGGTTCCTGTTTGGGGCCATTACTGTTATATTATATTCCAGCAAGCTATTTGTTGTCATAAACTTCCAGACGCCCACGCTTATGCTGATGACACTCAGCTGTACATTTCTTTTAAGTCTGATTCTACTGCTTGTGAATTAGAAGAGGTAACTGCTTTGCAAAACTGCATAGCCGATATTAAGACATGGATCCGGATGACCGTGGACAAACTCAAGTTGAATGAAGACAAAACTGAATTTTTGATAATTGGATCACGCCCACAACTGGAAAAGATAAAGATCACAGAGATGAGGACCAATGGGGGCCAAGGAGGGCCAAGGAGGGCTCAGAAGGGCCAAGGAGGGCCAAGGAGGGACAAGGAGGGCCAAGGTGGACCAGGGAGTGCTAAGAAGGGCTAAGGAGGGCTAAGTATCCCTAAGAAGGGCTAAGGAGCCATAAGGAGGCCTAAGGATGTCTAAGGAGGGCTCAGGAAGTCGAAGGAGCTCTAAAGGTGGCTAAGGAAACCTGGCGAGGCCTAAGGAGGCCTAACGATGGCTGAGGAGACCCCTAAGGAGGGCTAAGGAGGTCTAAGGATGTCTAAGGATGTCCAAGGAGGTCTAAGGAGGTCTAACGAGACCTAGGGAGGTCTAAGAAGGTCTAACAATGCCTAAGGTGACCTAAGAATGCCTAAGGAGGCCTAACAAGGCCAAAGGAGGCCTAAGGACGGTTAAGCAGGCCTAAGGAGGGCCAAGGATGGCTAAGGAGGGCCAAGTTGGCCAAAGTGGACCAAGGAGTGCTAAGAAGGTCTAAGGGGGGCCAGGAAGCCCTAAGAATGGCTAAGGAGCCCTAATAAGGTCTAAGGAGGCCTAACGAGGTCTAAGTATGGCTACGGATGTCTAAGGAGGGCTCTGGAGGTCTAAGGAGTTCTAAGGGTGGCTAAGGAAACTTAATGAGGCCTAAAGAGGCCTAACGATAGCTAAGGAGACCCCTAAGGAGTGCTAAGGAGCTCTAAGGAGGTCTAAGGTGAACTAACGAGGCCTAGGGAGGTCTAAGAAAGTCTAACGAGGCCTAAGGAGGCCTAAGGATTCCTAAGGAGGCCTAAAGAGGCCTAAGGACGGCTAAGCAGGCCTAAGGAGAACCAAGGAGGGCGAAGGAGGGCCAAGGAGGGCCAATGACGACCAAGGAGGTCCAAGGATGGCCAATGAGGGCCAAGGAGGGCCAAGGTGGCCAAGGTGGACCAAGGAGTACTAAGAAAGGCTAAGGAGGGCTAAGGAGCCCTAAGAAGGGCTAAGGAGCCCTAAGGAGTTCTAAGGAGGGGCTAAGGCTGGACTAAGGAGGGGCTAAGGCTGGACTAAGGATGGGCTAAGGAGGGACTACGGAGGGGCTAAGTAGGGCTAAGGAGGGCTACGGAGAGGCAAAGGAGGGAGATGGAGGCCCAAGGAGGCCCAAGGAGGCCCAAGGAGGGCCAAGTAGGGCCAAGTAGGGCCAAGGAGAGCCAAGGATGGCCATGGTGGCCAAGGTGGACCAAGGAGTGCTAAGAAGAGCTAAGGAGCCCTAAGAAGGGCTAAGGAGCCCCAAGAAGGTCTAATGAGGGGCTAAGGAGGGGCTAAGGTGGGGCTAAGGAGGGGCTAAGGAGGGGCTAAGGAGGGGCTAAGGAGGGGCTAAGGAGGGGCCAAGGAGGGCCAAGGAGGGCCAAGGAGAGCTAAGCAGGGCTAAGGAGGGCCAAGGAGGGCATACGAGGGCCAAGGAGGACCAAAGTGGACCAAGGGTGCTGAGAAGGACTAAAGAGAGCTAAGGAGCCCTAAGAAGGGCTAAAGAGCCGTATGGAGGTCTAAGGAGGGGATAAGGAGGGGCTAAGGAGGGCTAAGGATGGGCTGAGGAAGGGCTAAGGTGGGGATAAGGAGGGGCTAAGGAGGGGCTAAGGAGGGGCTAAGGAGGGGCTAAGGAGGGGCTAAGGAGGGCCAAGGAGGACCAAGGACGACCAACGAGGGCCAAGGGGGGCCAAGGAGGGCCAAGGAGAGCCAACGATGGCTAGGGAGGGCCAAGGAGGGCCATGGTGGCCAAGGTGGATCATGGTGGCCAAGGTGGACCAAGGAGTGCTAAGAAGGGCTAAGGAGGGCTAAGGAGCCCTAAGAAAGGCTAAGGAGCCTTACGGAGGTCTGGGGAGGCCTAAGGATGTCTAAGGAGTGCTCAGGAGGTCTAACGAGCTCTAAGGGTGGCTAAGGAAACCTAGCGAGACTTAAGGATGACTAAAGAGGCCTGACGATGGCTAGGGAGACCCCTAAGGAGTGCTAAGGAGGTGTAACGATGTCTAAGGATGTCCAAGGACGTCTAAGGAGGTCCAAGGAGATCTAAGGAGGTCTAACGAGGTCTAGGAAGGTCTAAGAAGGTCTAACGAGGCCTAAGGTGGCCTAAGGACGCCTAAGGAGGCCTAAAGAGGCCAAAGGAGGCCCAAGGACGGCTAAGCAAGCCTAAGGTGGACCAAGGAGGGCCAACGATGCCCAAAGAGGGCCAAGGAGGGCCAAGAAGGGCTAAGAAGGGCTAAGGAGGGCTGAGGAGCCCTAAGAAGGGCTAAGGAGCCCTAAGGAGGTCTAAGGAGGCCAAAGAAGGTCTAAGGAGGGCTCAGGAGGTCTAAGGAACTCTAAGGATGGCCTAAGGAAACCTAGCGAGGTCTAAGGATGCCTAAGGAGGCCTAACGATGGCTAAGGAGACCCCTAAGGAGTGCTAAGGAGCTCGAAGAATGTCTAAGGAGTTCTAAGGAGGTCTAACGAGGGCTAGGGAGGTCTAAGAATGTCTAACGAGGCCTAAGGAGGCGTAAAGAGGCCAAAGGAGGCCTAAGGACGGCTAAGCAGGCCTAAAGAGGACCAAGGAGGGCCAAGCAGTGCCCAGGAGGGAGAAGAAGGGCCAAGAAGGGCCAAGGAGGGCCAAGGAGGGACAAGGATGTCCAAGGATGGCCAAGGAGGGCCAAGGATGGCCAAGGTGGACCAAGTAGTACTAAGAAAGGCTAAGGAGCGCTAAGGAGACCTAAGAAGGGCTAAGGGGCCCTAAGGAGGTCTCAGGAGGCCTAAGTAGGTCTAAGTATGGCTAAGGATGTCTAAGGAAGGCTCAGGAGGTCTAAGGAGCTCTAAGAATAGCTAAGGAGACCCTAAGGAGTGCTAAGGAGCTCTAAGGATGTATAAGGAGGTCTAAGGAGGTCTAACGAGGCGTAGGGAGGTCTAAGAAGGTCTAACGAGGCCTAAGGATGCCTAAGGAGGCCTAAGGAGGCCTAAAGAGGCCAAAGGAGGCCTAAGGACGGCTAAGCAGGCCTAAGGAGGCCTAAGAATCCCTAAGGAGCCCTAAGGAGGCTTAAGGATGGCTAAGGATCGCAAAGAAGGGCTAACGAGCCGTACGGAGGCCGAAGGAGGGCTAAGAAGGCCTATCCAATTCTAAGGAGAGCTATGGAGCCCTAAGAACGGCTAAGGAGGTATATGGATGGCTAAGGAGACCTAAGAAGGGCTAAGGAGGCCTATGAATGGCTAAGGAGGTAAATGGAAAGCTAAGGAGACCTGAGGAGTGCTAAGGAGCCCTAAGAAGGGCTAAGCAGCGCTAAGGAGGTCTAGGGAGGCCTAAGGTGGCCTAAGAAGGCCTAAGGAGTCCTAAGGAGGCCTAACGAAGCCTAAGGAGGCCTAAGAAGGTCTAAGGCTGGCTAAGAACGTCTAAGGAGGGCTCATGAGGTCTAAGGAATTCTAAGGGTGGCTAAGGAAACGTAGCGAGGCCTAAGGAGGCCTAACGATGGCGCACTACGGAGACCCCTAAGGAGTGCTAAGGAGGTCTAAGGATGTCTAAGGAGGTCAAAGGAGGTCTAAGAATGTCTACCAGGGCCTAAGGAGGCCTAGGGATACCTAAGGAGGCCTAAGCAGGCCTAAGGAGGCCTATGGAGGCTTAAGTAGTCCTACGGAGGCCTAAGGAGTCCCAAAGAGGGCTAAGGAGGCCTAAGGACGGCTTAGGAGGTCTAGGGAAGCCTAAGGAGGTCTAGGGAAGCCTAATGAGGCCTGAGGAGCCCTAAGGAGGCCTAGGGAGGCTTAATGAGGCCCAAGGAGACATAACGAGGCCTAAGGGGGCCTAAGGATGGCTAATAAGTCCAAAGGAGGGCATAGGAGGCCTAGGGAATCCTAAGGAGGCCTAAGGAGCCCTAAGGAGGCCTAAGGAGGCCTACAGAGGCCTACAGAGGCCTACGGAGGCCTACAGAGGCCTACGGAGGCCTAAGGAGGTCTAAGGAGGCCTAAAGAGGCCTAAGGAGGCCTATGGAGTATTAAATAGGCCTACGGAAGCCTAAGGAGCCAATAATGAGGGCTAAGTTGGCCTAAGGAAGCCTAAGGAGGCAAAAGGATCCCTAAGGAGGCCTAGGGAGGCCTAAGGAGGCCTAAGGAGTCCTAAGGAGGCCTGCGAAGGACTAAGGATGGCTAAGGAGACCTAAGGAGGCCTAAGGTGGCCTAAGAAGGCCTAAGGAAGCCTAAGGATGGCGGAGGAGCCCTAAGGAGGGCTAGGGAGGCCTAAGCATGGCTAAAGAGGGCTATAGATCCCTAAGAGTGGCTAAGGAGACTTAAGGAGGCCTAAAGAGGCCTAAGGATTACACAAGTATTTCAAGATTTCATAATTTGCAGTGCATTTGTATTGCAAGGCAAGAATTACTATAAGTTGACTTCGAGCTGAAGTTTAATTACCACTTAGTTAATTGCTTTATGGCTTCCACATACTGCTTTATATATGACAGGATTGTCTGAAAGAAATATTGGGTAACTAAATATTGACATGCATGGTTGTCAACGTTTGGTAACAAGAGCATATGTCTCGTCGGTCGAGAAACTCAAGACACTTTTGAAAAATCAAATTTGATTTGATTTCACCAAAAGAAGACTTCTTGCTAGGTATTTCAGAGAGCATGATCAAAATGTCGCAACGCGATTTTGTCTTTATTAAATCGGTTAAGGGAGTGGTCATTATTTATGTGGAGGGGGGTTGGTAAATGGGAAGGGGGGCAAACGAAGTTTTACCCTTATAAATAGGGGGGTCAAAAGAGTTTTAACGCAGAGAAAGGGGGGTCAAAAAAATTTCTGAACTTAAATACCATGTCTAGAATTCTGATTTCTATAATCACAAATAGCAAAATAGAAGACTCTGAAAATGCTATTTCCAACGATCTAGAGACTCAAAATTTTCAACATTTCCCTGCTCGGCGCCAACCATGGTAGCGCCTCGCGGTTTAACAAGCTTAAGCTTCCTACCCCCCTGAGTGACCCAGTTACATAAACATGATCAGTACACTTAACTGATCAGATTCGGTTAATCAAAGCACAATTTAACGCTGTATATCCAAAAATCTGTTTCAGAAAATGCTTACATTTCAGTTCTAGGGGTGGAATAAGAATACAAAAAATTTTCGGGGGGAGAATACCCCCAGACCCTCTACTAGTACATACGATACCACACCAAACTTTTTGTCACGAACAACCATCTGTCATCTCTCCACATTCAGTATAGTATGGTCCTTTTTGTAGATGTCCACCCCCCAGACAAGTTCTTAAAAAAAGCCCTGTGTTCAAATCATTTCGATGTATGAAGACGGGCCATGGGTTAGGGTTATGGTAGGACAAATGTTGCATTGCAAAGTAGTAACACATAATATATATTTTTTAATCATATATGGTTGAATCATATTTACCAGGGTAAAACATCATTAGCTAGATTAAACAGATTGTCCTAATATCTAACTTTACCTGCAACGCACACCTGTTTCATTGCTGTTAATTTTTCAATTCACACTGGGGGGGGGGTCAGAAAAGTTTCTACTTTCATGAGGGGGAGGCACAAAAATTTTGTCTTCAGTCTGGAGGGGGGGGGGGTAAAAAAGTTTTCAATCCTTATTTTCCTCATTTACCAACCTCATCCCACCTCGCCATAAATAATGACCACTCCCTAAAATGCTACGAAAAAAAGTAAAATGCAGCCAGGAATAGACATAATTATATCTTGTAAAATATTTAATACTAAAAGACTAAGACGTTTCGGACGAAAAACGTCGACCTTCGTCGGTTAAAAATGATGGCCATGGTAAACGAGTCAACTAAAGTTGTCATATATGCATGGCCCTAATTATGCAAATTACTAACTAAACTATTGTGTGTGGAACTCAAAGTTTAATAAGCGTTTAAATTACAATCTCCCTTTGAAATACCCAATTTAGACTCTTTTGAGACCATGTATAAAGAATTACAGTATAATAATCAATAAATTTCAAGGCCTTAAAATTTTGTTTTAAAATCCGAACCCTGTTTGTTTTTCAGCTGAATGTCTTAGGTTCGGTTAAAAAGTTAAACGTCTTCACTAGGCCAAACTAGGTATAATATAGTCCATAATTAGTATAGTAAATAGTACCAACGACAGTAGAAAAGCGGCGAGGATATATGTTTTCCTGAACCATTGTAAACTAGAATCTCATAATTTGGCTCTAAAAAGAAACACAATAATTCCTGTTATCCCATCTGAATTCTCTACAGCGTAAATCCTCATAACCTCCATTGTTATATAGTTAGTGTCAAAGTTCAATTTCCCTGTTTGCCGATTGGTCAAAACCGTATCACGTGCCGGTCCACAAAACGTCGTGTTCACTGCGTGCTTTGCCGAGGAGCAACCGGTCCGCAATGAAACATTTATTGACCGGTCAATAATAAAATGGGTGCAGTGCGCATGCGTGTCAACCATGAAGTTCCAAAGTTCATTTTTTAAACTTTGTATTAAACATTTACAGCGTTCCATTTATCCAGTTTTGGTTTCAAATTAAGTTCACTCCAATAACCGGTGAACCGGTTTGACACTTACTATGTACTATATAACAAAACAATAATATGTACTATATAACAAAACACTTACTTACTTTGACCGAGGGAAAGCAGTGTGTTTTGTGGTCTCTCGACCACCGTTGTTGCATCGGCTTCGCCTCGGGTTACAACGGCGGTCTCAGGTCCACAAAACACACTGTTTCCCTCGGTCTCAGTAAATAAGTATAGGTTATTTTGAGGCAACGAGGGGATATGTGATTTATTCACCGAGGCGCGCAGCGCCGAGGTGAATAAACACATATCCCCGAGGTGCCTTAAAATAACGTACTTATTTTTCACACTGCGAGGTCGCGTTAATGAGTCAGAAAAGAAATAATTCTCAATGCCATATTGCTTTTGCGATGTTGTTTTTTCTCATTTTTTGTGCTGCAAAGACATTGCAGGTGAATATTAGAGGGGATTATTAATTGCAGGTGAATATTAGAGGGGATTATTAAACGGAAATTGATTAGACGGGAATGTTGAATATATTCCCCGACAAGAACAAAGGAAACCGAGCAGGGTGAAAAATAAGTGATAATTAATCCCCTCTCTAATAAGCCCCTCTATATATTAGTACGCTCCCTTGTCTAATATGACCTCTCTTTATAACCCCTCTTTAATAGGCCCTCTCTCTAATAAGCCACCTCTCTTAGGGTCTGTTTACATGATCTCAGTTTGCCGGGACGGGATGACTGGCGGGATCATTTTGATGTATTGAAATAAATCACTAGGTTTAAACGAAACTTCAAACGCCGGTTAAAAGAGCTCAAATTTGATGTTGTTGAGAAGATCTCGTAGTTCAAGAAGGTTATTATTGTTGCTTGAACAACATTTCGTTTACAATTATACTATAATATATCACTAGAAAAATAATGCAGTTTTACTGAATCATGCACCGCGACTTATTTCCGTACATCAAAATTTTCCCGCCTCATATCTCGTCCCGACAAAGCGGGATCATATTTAGCAGCCCCTAAAAAGTCACCTCTCAAACACGTCTCTCCATAATAAGTATAGGACAGGTGATTGGTTTGTTTGACGCGAGTTTATTTTTCAGAAGAACTATCTTATCTTTTCCCAAATTCATCTAGAGAAATCATTCGTCCCTAGCATAAATCAGACCCTTGATTTCTTACCTCGATCAAGCGAAGCGGATCTTCTGAGGATCCTTGTAGATTTTGTTTTGGATTTGTTGTGTTCCAGCGTTTCTTCCATCATAAGCCTTGCACGAAATATAATTTGTAAAGTTGACAATTTTCGCGCCATCATCACTTGTGAATTTAATTTTCTTAACAGATGCGTTCTTTTCTACCACCACGCAGCCAGGCAAGCACTGTTGGTACGCCAGATATTTAAATTGTGGTAAAGCTTCGACATGCTCGTGGATGAGATTATATCTCGGTTGAGGACTGTTGCAAACATTACACTGACGTACCAGATTGTCTGGATTATTTGCATAGCTCACATTGAAATATACTTCTGTCACTGCAAGAAAAATTCACACAGATTAAAGTTACGGTGTAATATTTCCTTGCAGCTGAAACCTGAAATACGAAGGACGCAATCGCGAAGGCTGACTAATGCGCCTCGGGTTGCCGCCACGGAGTACAGCTAAGGTAGAATGGTTCTTTGTGGTGAGAGAGAAAAACTCGACCAGAGATCCTGGAGAAATCCTTCGATGTACAGGAAAGAACTAAGCTCACTCTTTCAAATGATTTTTGCTATATATTTAAAAACTATATACAAGAAAACACGAAGACATGGAAGTGTGGGGGCAGAAGCTGTTTGCACTCGGGCCCTAATGTATCGCAAAAACGACGAAAAAACAGATTCTATATAACGTAAACATAACTTAAAAAAGTAGGTTCGCGCGAACAAATTTGCCTGGAGGAAAACGGGCTTTACATGCGTTTTCAAGCACGTCAAGTCGGACGACGGTTGCCCATCAAGTTGTGATACCCTAACCTTACATTCAATCTAGCAAGTGTAACTCAGTGATAAGCTTATGGGAGAGCGCGCTAACCATATCTGCATGTTCCCGTATTCCCCCATATTGTCATCAACCTATATGAAATAAGTTTTATGGATAAGTTATGACCATAACGAAAGTAAAAAAATTAATTACAAAGCATGCATGTTCATTTTAGGTTGGTATTACTCACGACAAGTTGGACTAACCTTCGTTATCAGTTATGGTTTTGTACAATTTCTTGTTCCTGTATGTCAAGTTCCCACATTTGCAAGACGTGTGATTATAAACTACATATTTATAAAACTTCTTTTCATTGTTTGGATCCCGATCTTTGTTTGTTATATCCGGGACCACTATCTCAATTTCTTCCGTTTTGTTTGGCACGGGATACCCTTCACTGTCACTGGAGCATTCGCCCACCTCAATTTTAACACAGCGATAAACTTCAATGAAATATTGAGGTCTGGATGATGGGGTGGAAAAATTATCATTGTATATTGAAACCACTTCTCTTTGTGGCCCTAAAACAAAAGACCCGAGTGTTGGTACGTTTGAGTAAGCGCCAGCCTAGACCTAGGCCTTTACTCGGCTGGCTTTGCCAGGTATCTTTGGCGGGTTTGGTCAATTTCCGGCTAGCATTTGGTAATTATCGCAATGGTAGTCTCAGTCTTTTCATGTGAAAAAGCGCTGAATATTAAAAAAATATATAAATAAAAATAGAAGGTCTAGGTCTAGGCTGAGTACGCGCATATTGTTCTTAATTCTATTATTTTCTTCCAGATACACTAAACTACAGCGGCCGGTTGTATAAAAACGTAATTAACTCTAACTGTAGTTAGCGTTAATCACTGTAGTTAAATCCTTAACTGTAATTAGTTAACTACATGACTTAACTGCGTTGCACAAAACGTAGTTAGTCGGATAGTTAACTAATCACGTAGTTAACTGTGCGTGGGGCTTGCGTGGGGCGTTTAAACACAAAATTACATAAAGTAAGCAGCAAAAAACGACCGCTGACAAACATTTTCAACATGATTGTGGACTCGTATTTTGCAAATAGGCGGGAATTTTATTCAAAACACTAGAAAAACAATGAAAAATATACAAGAAAACAAGGAAAAACCACCCCAAAAATCATAAAAGAATGCAGTTTTTCCTTGAGATGCCCACGTTAAACCAAGGTAATGCTGTTTGGCAATTATATATCAGTGTTTCTTGGTGTAATGGACCATACTTCGTCTTCGAGAAATCGTCCTGTGCAAAAATATGTTCTGTTTTCGTAAAAACACCAAAGCGATAGCGTTTGAAGAGTTTATATTGTCAGGAAACATTCACAGGGAAGATAGCGATTGAAAATCTCAGGTAAACGTTGCTTTTCATTGTTGTTTTATTGAAAAATGTTGTTCACTCCTATACAAAC